CCATCTAATAATAAAGATCTTCCACCATCACTTCTTTTCACTGTCTCTTTAAAGTCCACCCGACTTTGCACCAGAATCTCTTTGTCCAGTAGGATGAGCAAGGCCATGTCAGCGGTGTCCACTTTCTCTCTCTTCTTTTTAAGATTTTATTTGTTTATTGGATAGAGAGAGGATGAGAGATAGGGAGCACGAGAGGGAACAGGGTCAGAGGGAGAAGCAGACTCCCTGCTGAGCGGGGAGCCGGATGTGGGACTCGATCCCGGTTCTCCAGGATCATGACCTGAGCCGAAGGCAGCCGCCCAACCAACTGAGCCACCCACGCGCCCCACTTTCTCTTTCTTATCAGCACCAGGGCCATGGCCATATTTGTCCAACCCTCTTTCTGCAGTTGCCTGGTCCTCTCTCTCCCTGATACCTTCTGACAGGTGCTGGGCAGGAAAGCAGGTTTCACTGTGTGGCTGAATAGTTCTGGGCTCTCCCCCAAGCCAGAGGTGACAAGCCTCAGGCAGGGAGGGGGATCAGAGACCAGTCCGGGGCCCCGAGGTCAGGAAAAGCAGTGCAGGCTGTGATCTGCTGCTCCCTCCTACCTGCTTGAGGCAAGCAACTCCTCCCCCGGTTTCTACCTGCTCTTGCCCTCCCAACCCCACAGGCCAGGCTGACTGGAGACACAAGTAAAGGCCATACACGGAGCGTCCTCTGTTGCATGCACACAGCCCCAAGGCAGGCGGAAGCAGAGACCCAGCCTCAGGGCGGGACCCCTCACCGTCCGTCCAAGTCACATCTTGCCAAATGTTCCTCTAGCTTCTGCTAGAATGCTTCCACAGACAAACAGCTCCCTCCTTCCTGCCAGGCTTTAATTTAAGGGAGCAGAGAGGGCATGTTTGTTTGTTTTTTTAATCAGATGAATTGAACAGAATCGCACGATTGCTTAGGCAATCACATGAAAGCGAAGAAGTTTTGAAGTCAGACACCAGGGTTCAAAACTCAGCTCCACATTGACTAGTTTGGTGACCTCGAGCACATCAGTTCCCTTTTCCAGGCTCAGTTTCACCATCTGTATAATGGCTTCATGACACTCTCTTCCTATGGTTGTGAGATTTACTATGAAGGATTGGTTCGTGTGCTTATGGAGGCTGAGAAGTCCCACGCTCTGCTCTCTGCAAGCTGGAGGCCAAGAAAGGCAGCGGTGTGGGTCCAGTGCAAAGCCAAAGGCCTAAGAACCACCGGAGCCAATGGTATAAGCTCCAGTCAGAGTCCATAGGCCTGAGAACCAGGAGCACCGGATGTCCCGGAGCAGAAGACGAATGTCCCAGCTCAACGGACAGCACATTTTTCTCTTCCCTGGTCTCCTTGCTCTATTCCAGTCCTGGGCTAATGCCCACCCACTTTGCTCAGTCTACTGTTTCAAATGCTAATCTCTTCTGGAAACAGCCTCACAGACACACCCAGAAATAATATTCTACCAGCTTTCTGCGCATCCCTTAGCCCAGTCAGGTTAACAGAAAATTAGCCATCACAACCATCAGTCAGATTGACCACTTATCAAGACCTTGCTGCACACGAATGTCAATCCCCAGTGTCAACAGTTGCTAAGTTGAGCCCAGATTCGAGAGGAGGAGAATTAGACCCCACGGCTTGATGGGAGGAGTGGCAAAGAATCTGTGGTCATCCTTAAAATCCCAACAAGGAGCAAAAGGTGGAGGGTTCCAGGCTCCCTCCCAGGGGTGACCAGGGAGGCAGCCTGACTGATGGAAGAGGTGACCTCAGCTTGTGGAGGAAAGACCTCCTTCTCGTCTCTCACTTCTTTCTTCCTGTGTCACACCTGCGGAGGAGTTGGAGGAAGCTGGGGAGGAGGATTCTGAGCTCTCTCCCAAGGGTGAGGGGGAGCCTGGAAGGTTTGGAGCAGGTGAGTGATACGTAATATTTGAGTCCAACCAGGATCACTCTGGCTGCTGTGTGCTGGGTGGAGGCGACTGGAGGGGGCAGCTGTTGTTTGGGGGGGAGGGTGGGGGGTAAAGGTGGTTTGGACCACTCTTGGGGCTGGGACAGGGGATGGGGCAGGAGGAATAGACTCCAGAGCTGGGCGGCTATCTGTGGGGCCCGGCTAGAGGGAGCAGGAAGAGCAGGTGGGAAGGGTTCAGAGGTGTGGGCCAGTCCACTGAGGGGAGCACCCACACTGGGGGAGACTGGAAAAGGTGGCAACCGATCCCCCACCACCTATAGCCCACCACCGGGCTCTGCAATCTTGGGGTTTCAGCAGCCCTGTTCCCGCAAACAGGGCTGAGTGACCACAGGACAGGGTCCTTCTCCCACCACACACTCATTCTAGCCCCAGGCATGTCCAGGGTCTGGTGAGGCTCCCTGAAGGGTGTCCCAGGCTGCCGTCCCAGGGAGCCCCTGCTCCGGCAGGGCTGTGCCTCAGGGTCTTATCTCTGGAATACTGTCCTCCCACTCGCTCCCGCTGTGGCTGGCACCAACATGGCCAGATGGTGACATCTAGAGGCAGCCTCCTGTCTCACACTGCTTCCGGGCAGAACCTCACAGCAAAGGGCCTGCACGGGTGGGGCCAGCCGAGGGCTTCCCCATTGGTGTTCCGGTGGTGTCATCCCCAGGACTGAGTGACCAACCACCATGCAGAGCTCAGGACAGACCCGGCTCCTCCGTCCCTCCATGCCAAAGCCCAGTCTGGAGTCGGCAAAGCCCCTGGAGCCCCAAATGAACCCAGAGATACTCTCCCCTCCCACAACCAAGGACCTGTGGGCTCGGTGACATTCCCCATCCCCTACCTGCTGCGCCACTTTATCTCAGAGGAAGGGTCTTCCCAGCAGCTCAGCCAGCCTCTTCTCACAGAGCCAACCCCTCACCTCCACCTCACCACCCAGGCCCATCCTGTGTCCTGAGTCCCGCATGAGACTCTCTCACCTCCCCTTAGCGATATGCTTTTAAAAAAATCACTTGTGCATTTCCATCCGTCCACACCTATGGGTTTTCTGGTACCAGACACTCCTCGCCCCCTTTCCTCACACCTCTTCACACCACTGCTCACGGTTTTCCTACTACTCCTCTGACCTCTCTCTGGTTGATTCCTCTTCCTCTGCTCCTCCTTAAATCATCCATCCCTCTGTCCATCCCTCCGTCCTTCCTCATTCATTCTACAATCAACAGGACAGGGGGCCAAGCCTGATGTTCCAGCAGTGGAGTGGGGAGGGAAAAAACAAGGACAAATGTCCCCAAAGCACCTGTTTGCAACCTGCAAGGGAAGTGAAGGGCTGGGGGTGGGATCTGGGGGGCTGCCCCCCACCTCCGTGCTGCTGAAGAGCAAGCCATGCCCACAGTCCTTTCTGTGCTCCCTGCCTGGCCGCGCTCACTTTCCTATCCGCAGAGCCCACCCTAAGGTGTCCTCCTTCCCCACCCAGCCACCTTTGGCTACCTCCCCTCCCAGCCCCCATTGCACTCTCATCCCTACTTCCATAAAGACCCACTGGACCGGACCCACCCCTGTGCTTCGCTCCTCTTGCTCAGTGTCACACCGCTCAGCCCCCCACTGGGAGGGGCCATCCCCGGAGCCTGGACCTGGGGCACACGAGGTTTGTGCAGGGTGGACTGGACAGAGAGCAGTTGGTGACAGACATTCTTTTTTGTTCATCTGCTGTAGGGAGGACGAGGTTGGGCCAGTGAGGGCTTTCCAGAATCCTGGAAAGGCAGGAAGAGTTAAGACGTGGGACAGAGCAGGTTTGGGAAAGTCCCTCTCCAGACCACTTTTCCAGACATGAGGGAAAGGAATGTGTGCTGGCCTACTTCCCCCTTGCTCCTCTCGGCCGGCCGGGCAGTTTCCCATACAGAACAGATAAGGTCAGGGGCTAGCGGAACATAGACACTCTGATCCCAAGAAGTCTGGTAAGGATTCACCCGTGCCAGAGGGAGCTGCATGGAGCACCGGCCACCCACGATTCAGAGGGCCACCAGCCTGGGAACCACTTCAGGGCATTTAGTAGCATCAAGTAAAATAAAAACAAAAACTCTAGATATGAAGGAAACAGCATAAATTTATTTCTTCCCTTGGAAGGAGTCCAAAGAGCTCAATCTTGAAAATTTAATTCTCCGTTTCCCTTGTATTTTTATCGTGTTCCAAAATGATGGAATATTGGAACACATGTGTTAAGTATATCTAGCTCCTTTTCAGCACCACCTACTTCTCCATCCCATCTCCACCCACCCTGGGCCAAAACTGTGCAGTGAAAGAGTTTCATGCGTTATGTTCCCTTTCTGAAGGGGCCAGTACTGGGACAAGTGGATGGACTGTGGACTTGGCTCAAATCCCAGCCCTACCACGGTGTCAGGGGCAAGTATTTTAGTTTTATGATATTAAAGAGGGAAATGGCTCCTCTTGTTATCTTCATCAGACCACAGACATTCCCTTTTCTACCTTTCCCTCCCCCAAATCTGCTCCTCTTCAAGCCCAGACGAACCACCCTAGACCACACTGAAGTGTTAATGACTTAATAGTTGGATTGCATTTTAAGAAGTACCCATAGGGGCAGTCCTTAGGAGCTTTCTCTCTCCAGAGGCAGGGAGACAGAGCTCAGGGAGTTGGGGGTGGGATGGAGGGGGTCTTCAACACTGGAGATAGCTGCCTGGAACTTTTCCCTAAAGCTGGCCCTGCATTTAACACAAGCTGGTTTTACAAGCTCAGCAGGCCTTGGCATGGAGTGTGTGGAGTCCCTTACAACAAAAGCCTTCATTTCCTTTTCCTTCATTTCAGGTGTCCCGTTCCCCCCCCCCCCCCCCCCGCACACACGGTTAACACCCAAATGAGGACTTTCTGTGTGGTCAGCAGCCATCAAAAATTTGCATTGGAAACTTCTTTGGGGGTGGGGGAGGGGAGACCTTGAACAGACTAAAATCTTCCATGGCCAGATAAAGGTGGTGAATCAAAGACTGGTCTAATCTAGCACCCTAAAGACCGAAAGAAATTACTATTCACACCAAAAGAAACCAAATTTCATTTTGCCTCCTTTATTTACAAGTTTCATTTAAATATCTCTAAGAGTTAGAAAATCAATGTCAAATAAGAACATTGCTATACAGCTTAAAATACAAATGTCAGTAAATATTAAAGAACAGGGTTAATCATTTTTCTAAGTCAATGCTTGATAAGAATTATTTTCCAGGAAGCAAGTTACACATCAGGTGCCCCAGGCATAAGGGACAGAGCCTCAGCCTGCTCGGCCACCCGTGTTCCCTCTCAGTGATATGCGAGGCAGTTCGTATGAGGACAGTACTGCCAGCTTTTATACCCCAGCTCCAAAGCTACACTGGGGATTTTTCTGCCAGGGGAAGGAGTCATGTTCAGAGACAAATGCACCACTTTAAGATGAAACTAGGATGGCTCAGTTCCAGGATCCTCTGGTTTAATCTGGGAAGTAGAGGCCTCCCAAGAGCTGTCAAATGAAGATAGGTTACCAGGAACTGATGGACCTAAGAGTCAAGCCAGACTCCTTCTGAACACATTTTCTTGTTCCCAACAATTCATTATTCTCTTCTTTCGCTGACTCAAGTTCAAACTGTTTGTATTTCACTTATATACAAAAGGTGCCACAGCTCAACTGCGTCTAACCTAACTTTTACCCAGTGTGTCCGATACGAACGATCTTTTAGGCCAATCACACTTCTGGGAAAACCATGATTATATATTAACATACCTCAAAATTCACATTTTCACTATAACAAATCAGCTTTTTTAAAAAATAACAAATTAGCCTTAATGTTACAAACAATCCTTCAGAAAACTGAATCTAAGTAACTCGACCTGGCATACTGATTTGAATTTAGAACTACACCATCTTCCTTATTTTGACCAATCCCCAGAATCAGCAGAGCTGTATTCTTTATACATAAATCAATATCTAAATTATGCCAATATTACCAGTTTCTTACCTACACTAATACGCAATTTAAAGAAACAAGGCATACTTTATTCAAGTTATATCCAAAATATTAAATGGTCAATGTTATTTTTTAGTTAGTTTTAGATGTCTCAAAATTGAAAGCTTTACATAAAGAAATGATCAATGCTTTGGAAGACCGACAAGTGCCACCAACCCCCTCTCAAATCCCAGTGCCCTCAAGCAATAGCCCGTGTGTCTCAGAAAGGCCAATGACACCAGAAGGGTGGTCTGGGAGACAGACATGCTGGGGCTTAACCAGGACACTCTCCTTGGAGCATTCAGGGAAAGAGCTGAGAGAGCTCACAGTGGAAAAAGGCAGACAATAAACCGGGCTTTCTTTCATCTCGATATAGCAGTTAGAAAGCAGGCAATATATGAGGCAGGGAGAGAACACAGATATGCTTGGAGAAGCAGGCGGGAAGTCTGTATCCTCTCAGCTGTCCCCCGAGTTACTGAATCAGATGCATTTTATGACCCACGAGAGCGAGGCTCTCAAACAGGATTCAGACAGTCTGTAATGCTCCGAGGTGCACCAGGGTTTAGCTGGCATCAAGAACAAAGGATGTCAGACCGGCAGTCTTCAGCTCTAGCAACAAACCTTCATGCAAGCCCAACAGTGGTGATGCACGTTTCATTTCTCAACCTAGGAGATCAAAAGGAACACTAATGGTTTCAGAATAAAAGGACCGAGGCTGAAGCACTAGAGACGAAGCCCCTATCACTGAACAGTTACACTGGAAAACGGACAGGGGAATGTCCCCCAGCTAGAAGTCCCCCAACACGTGAATGAATGTCACGGGGACATGAAAAGTCAAACTCTCGTTTATTTCAGTGGATGGCACAAGGTGGAGATGAGGAGAGGATCACTCGACGTAGTGCAGGAAGACAGAACTGTCAGCTTTGTGGGATTATATTTGTGTTTCTGTTTAGGGACACATTTCCTGTTGTTTAAATGCCACCGCAATTCACGAGAACATGAAATCTGTTCCCCAAGAAAGGAGACACGTGGTTTAATTTGAAATCAACACAAAGACTGTGCTGCCCACAGAAGCCATTACGGGTCACATTTTTATTTTTGCCCCGACTCCTCTACTAAATACGGTCTGGTCCCTGCGGAGTAGCCACGGCGGCTCAGCCCACAGTCTCGCGGCAAGTGTCCCGTCTGACAAATCTCACTCCTCCCTCTTCCCCGCTGCCTCTCTGGATGCAGGCAGCCCTGGTCAGCGACTTCTCAGTCCTTCGTGTTTTCACCTGTCCAGGTTCAGGCGGAGTCTTACTTAAGTCCACAAGCCACGGCATCAGCCAGTCCTGTCTCCTGTCACAACAATCATCCTCCGTAATCGCACTTTCTCCTTCCCTGCAACTCTCTGAAGAGGGAGTCTTCCTCCCGGACAGCACTGCGCAGTCAGCAGCAGCAAAGCACGGGTAGGAGGATTAGGTGGAATTCACAGAAGAACGTTTGAGAGGTATAATCAGAAAGGCTAAGGGCTCTAAATAACCCACACAGAGGCTAAGCTCTGCAGGGTGTTTTATTAATGCAGGGAAAGCCAGGAATTAAAGCTGAGACAGAAGTTACCTCCGCGTATGGCTCAAGGTTTAAGGGGCGGGACACAGCAGAAGGGATCACAAGCCGCACAAGTGAGTTCAGCTGGTCCAGAGGCCTAGCCACCCCCCCCCACCCCCTCAGCTGAAAATCAAGATGAGTCATTCCAAGCATGCTTACAGCAGGTCTGTTTGCAAGTTTGAGGGCTCAGTTTTAGAGCAAACTAAAACACAACGAGGACGCAGCATCACAAAGTGCTTTCACAAGTATAATCACACAAAAAAGTTAAAATATTGCATAGAAAAGTGTCCTAGAATATGTTTTGTAAACCCAGGTCTTAGTAATTTAAAAATAAAAAATAAAACCTCCCTTCATAGTCTAGACGTCCATGATTGTGAATCAGGAAAAACCGCCAAGTCTGCCGATTTTGCGGCACAACCTCAGAAAATCCTGAAGTTCTTCATATTCTAAGAACGATAATTAAATTTACCCTTTGAAGGCTCAGGCTGACAGTCTAACAACAGTGTCTTTATAAAAGGACTTTGGCTCTGGGCCCAAGCCTATGTGCTCTCAATGCTCTGCCCGCTCTACGTAGAAAAGGTGACCAAACACATGGGGACATGAAATCATGCCACTGCTTTTAAACCAACGCTGTTTTTTTCCTCATGTCAGTCTGTGATTAAGCAAGCTACATCCGCTGGCCTTACTGTCTGAAGAGGCAGCTTAAGACCACGGGAACATGTCTTAGCAAAGCATTTAAGTTGACCTTGGCCATACGCGAGCCTCTCAGCCCCCCTTGTAATATGCATCTATCGAGTCTGCGTTAAAATACGCCACCGTGACAGTGATGTCATCCCTGTACATCCTCGCCAAGTCCTCTGGCAACGTCAGCATCGCCGTTAGCCGCTCCGGCTCCATCTCTCCATACTCATTGGTCCCTATGGCGTGTCTGATGAGACGCGTGGCTGCGTTTTGGTCGGCTGCGTGGCGCCCCTGGTCTTTGCGCTGCAGCAGCAGGCTCTGCATGAGCCCCAGCTTGGAAGGTCTCTGGGCCAGGTCTGGCTTGTGCCGACCCACTTCGGCCAGGTGCTCCACCACCAGCCTCACCACTTCCTCGTTGCCCAGCACGTCCCACAGGCCGTCCGAGGCCAGCACGAGGAACTTATCCTGGGGCCTCAGCCGGTGGTAGGTGACCTCAGGCTCGGCAGTCAGGTAGGGTGGAGTATAGTAGTGTGGGGGGGTGAACTGGTAAATGTTGAGGGCCTCGGTGTCAAAGCCCCTCTCCAGGACGCTGTGCTGCAGGTCTTTACTCCACTTCAGCTGCACGTCCCCAAAGGCCCTGCAGGGCATGAGGACGCCCAGCAGCCTGTGGTCCACGATGACCGTCCTATCCTCTGATTCAGGGTGCTCCCTCTTCAGCCGTGCCAGCTCAGCCGGGTTCCAGGCATTGTGGTCGCAGGTGAGAGGCAGACAAGACCACATGCCATTGTCTTCCTGGACCCCAAGGATGGCTCGACAGTCACCAGCGTTTGCCACATGCAAGTGAACTCCATCCACATGGGCCATGCAAGCTGTTGCCCCGGAGAAGGCAACCTGGAGTGAAAGGTTCCTTGTCATCTCATCTTCCAGGGGGGCCTGGACTTCCAGCGAGATGTCAGAATCCAGTCTCTGGAAGGAGTGCATTAATGCTTCCTTAATGTTGAGTCCCATTTCCATGTGCAGGTCAAGCAGCTCCTGCCAGTAGACGCGGAGGTGATCAAGGTGCACTGACGTGACATCCTTGTAGATACTGTCCCCTGGGTGCTTGAGCCAATGCAGGATAGGCAGCAGAGGCTTCATGCTTTCCATGGCTCCCTCCATCTGCTCCAGGGTCTGCTGGGACATCAGTGACACGGCCACGTAGTAGAAGAGCCTCTCGCTCACTGCTTGAGCACATGCATGGCCACCGTGTCCGTCAAAGATGCCAAACATCAGCCCGTTGGTCTGTAGGCAGGAGGCGATACCTCGCCGGTCTTCCACTGGGGAATTGGCAGCCAGCTGGTTGCTCTCAAACCGTAACACTGAATTTGGGACTCCACTGACGAGGTCAAGAGTCTTGTGGGCCGACTCGCCGGCTCGCAGCACTTCATTTACCTGCTGAGGGCTGAGCTGCAACTGAAAATCATCTTCCTCTGTTGATGTGTGTCTGTAGGCTTTCTGCAGAGCAACGTCACTGCACGGGACACTGACTTTTCCGGTGCCTGGTACCTGGGAAAAGAGTCTCCATCTTGCTTTATTTCTATTTGAGGCACACCTTGAATATAAACGTCTGCCTCCCTGTAACGTGGCAATGCTGTTCCTTGCAGAATTTTTTAAGATCCAGAAGGGCAAAGTACTTGACATTATGAAACTATACCAGCAAATGTGTTCCTTCAGCAAAAGGGGCTTTCTTTAGACCTGAAAATTAAAGAGTTGAAGAAAGCTCAAATTCAACTTCTTAAAAACAATGACTTCTGAAAACATTTGCTACCATTCTGAACAAAAGCGATTTAAGATAAACTTCAAGAGTTGACTAAATTCAAAATACTTAAGCAAGTCTCCCTACCTCCCAATACAACACACAAATAACATTCCAGAAAATGGAGAAAACAGGGTTTTTATATGTTCTCCACTCTTAGCCACTGAAGGCTTCCCCACAGGGCTTACTCATTCCTCACAGCTGACCCAGGGGCCCCCCTTTTTCTTTTCCTTCCCAAATCCTTTCCCTTGCCAGAGCCCAGGGTCTAGCTCCCATGTTCACTTTCTCCAGCAGACTGTTTAAATGTTTATTTAAATATCTGCTTCTCCACTATGCTGTAAGCTCCATGAAATCAGGAACCTAGGCTCCCTTACTCACCAGTGGCTTTCCCAGTGCCCAGGCCTATACGAGGTACACAACAGGCCCTCAACTACTGGCTAGACATAGCATTTCCAAAGGCCCAAGAGCACACCAGGTATGACCCTAGCTGTCTGACATCAGACACACTGCTTCACTTGCCTGCGCTTCAGCTGTCTGACAGTGGGATAAGAACACTAGCCTCATGAGGTTTTGTGAGGATTTATTTTATTTTTTTTTAAGATTTTTATTTATTTATTTGACACACAGAGAGAGAGAGTGAGAGAGAGAGAGAGAGAGAGGGAGAGAGCACAAGCAGGGAGAGCGGCAGGCAGAGGGAGAAGCAGGCTTCCTGCATGAGCAGGGAGCCCGACGTGGGGCTCGATCCCAGGACCCTGGGATCATGACCCGAGCTGAAGGCAGCGGCTTAACCAACTGAGCCACGCAGGCGCCCCGGTTTTGTGAGGATTTAATGAAATTTGACCCTTCTGCTCCAAAAAGGTAGTTATTACTTTTATTATTAGGTGACTCCTCTAGTCATTCTGTATACATTTTTATATAGTTGAAACCACAACGTACACTGTGGTTTTCTTCTTAAGAGCATTTTATTCATGATAAACATTTCATGCATGTGCAATACCCCATTTTGGCATAAACAATCTCAATTTACTTAACTGTTCTCTAACGTTGTAGATTTACAGGGCCTTTCCACTGGCTAACATTTTATGAAACACCATACTGCACTGCCTTGCACACCAACCTTTTCCCTACTTAGGTTTTAACCTACTTATTTCCCAAAGGAGGAATCAGTAGGTCAAAGCGTGTAGACTCATAACTGCCTAACTGATTTCCAAAAGATTCACATCTGCTTCTACAAGGACATGACGGGAACAGTTTCCTAGCACCTTCAACAGACTCTGGTGGCATTTTTTCTTAGACAAAACCAACCAACCAACCAACCAACCAAACAAACAAACAAAAAACTGCTCTATTTTCTATTTTCTCCGGTGACCTAAGAGGAGCGTTTCCCACATGTTTTAGGATTTCGTTCAGGAGACCTGCCCTCCTCCAAGTTTGTCCTTTGGGGCACTGGGAGCTCTCAGAATTGAGGATCTTCCTCCTCCCCCCAGTTCCACCCACTCCCGAACTTGGGCCCGGGCGCTAGGTCAAGGAGTACAGAGGGCGCCTGGCACCTCCCACCCCTCTGGGGCCCTGCTGAGAAACCAGGCAACGGTGTCCGACGCAAGTCGGTCCGCCGCAGCCGCAACCGCAGCCGCAGCCGGGATACAGTTTCGTGTCCCTCGAAAAAACAAACAGGTCCCAAGTTCAAGTCTCTGACCCACAGCCTCATAGATAAGAGTTCGGTCTCCGGAGTCCACCAAGCCCGATCTCCCTCAAGCCCCGGCGCGACCACGTCCCTGAGCCCCAGCTTCCCAGCCTGAAAAACAGGCAAATTCAGTCGAGGCGCCTAACTCACAGGGGGTGCTCCAAGGGCTAAAGCAGCTCGTGCGGGTGCCCGGGTCCGAGGTCAAGGGTCCTTGTCAAGTCCGCGAGCCCACGTGGCGCGTGCGCGCGATGGGGTGACTGTGGCTGCGGGCCCGCCCCCTCACCTCAACTCACCCGGGCTCTCTGCCTCATCACCTGATCCGATCCTGCTGGCCGGGGAGAGCCAAGGCACCGGCGACGCCCTGCGGGGTGGAGAAGTCCCCAACCCACGATCACCCCCTTCCCTACCTCGGATCTTCGCTCCCCTCTCACCAGCTTGCGCCACCGCCGCGCCGTCCGTCCCGTCAGTTTGGCGCCTGCTCACAGTGCCGCGGCTGCCACTCCTCCCGCCTCACCTCCTTGAAGCGGCCCCTTGTGCAGATCCAGATGGAGAAGGAAGCATCCTCTCGCCGGCTCTTATTGGTTTACCTGCGGAGGCGGGCCTTTGACGGACAGAGGAATTGCCCAATGGCTAAGGAGGACGAGAGGGCGGACAGGGCGGGAGGGACCAAATCCGGTTCCTCCCCACCCGTCCCCACCAGTCTCCTGGGCTCCGGTGGTGGGTGGGCTGAGCGCCCCGCAGGCTACTCCACCCGGCATTCAAGTGGCTGGCAACCCCACCACGTGACCTCCCACACACTGCACACCCTAAACCGAGCAGCCCCTTCAGTTCCTTGCTGTTGTTTAATAATACCTCACGGCTTCCCCTCCATTGCTTTGCCGACCCGTCCAGACTCCTCTCTCAACCACTTGGACACCTCCCTCTGGGGGCCCTACGTACGCCTCTAACACATCTTTCCGGGGACTCATCTTCCTGCCAAACCTGCTCTTTCTCTCCTACCCTAACCCAGTAATGGGCCCACCATCTTCCCAGATAGCCTAAACCAGAAGCCTGGGAGTCTTTTTTTTTTTTTTTGGGAACCCGGGGGGTTTTTGGCGCACCCCCCCCCCCCCCGTCAGTTATCACCCCCCTCCCCCCCGTCAGTTATCTAATCTTGTTCATTTTATCCCCCAACTATCTCTCCAGTGCATGCATTTGTCTCCGGCGACTTCACTACCCTATTCCAGTCCTCTCATCTGGTCTCCCTGACTTCAGCTGCCGACTTAGCAGCTCTTCCTCTACAGAATAGGCAGTGACCCTTCTAAAACTCAAATTCCTGCTCTGAAATCTTCACTGGTTCCCCAGGGAGCCATTGGGCCTTCAAAAAACAATTACATTGGTCTGGTCACTGACAGTTACCAGAAATGGTTAGTGACTGGGAGGCCGAGAAAGGCTGAGAACCAAGACACCAGATAATCCCTCAGTCCCTCACCTTGTGGGATTCCAGGTTTCCCCTGCTTGCTTACTAATGGCTTTACTCACTCTTCTACTTACTGTGGTAAGGCAAGTGCAGTGCTTCCCTGGAGGCAGAGAAAACTAGGAGATGACCAGAAAGGCCACTAAGAGAGCCCTGAGAATGTGGTCTTCGGGAAGGAGGACATGCCGGCTTACCTGGAGAGCCTGGCCAGCCCACCTGGACCCAAGGACATGCTGCCATCAAACTGCTCCTGTCAGACTTGCTCCTGGTATGACATTTATACTGCCACTCACCTTTGGCCCTTTCCGGAAGTTTTACCAGTAAGTCAGAATTTGCAGTATCTCTCTTCCTGGATATTGAGAAGGCATTTTCCGACTGAAACTAAAAATAACTCTAAGGCATTCCAAAGAAATGGGTGCAATTTTATTTTTCATATAGATAATTCATTTGGGGTGACAAAGGGTGACACAGCTTAATTACTCCATCTGCAAGCATTTATGAGTGCCTGAGGTGACTGCTGGAGACATACAGCTGGCTGTCCCCACCACACTTTTCTGAGAAAAATTATGTCACTCTGCGAAGTCTGAAACCACAACGGTTTTCTAAGTTACCGCACACACAACAATTCCAAAGTAAAAAAATGTACCCTTGATAATTTTGTGTGCACCGGAACTTTCGTTTAAGGGCTATAGCTAGCTTAGTCACTGACATATAATCGCCAGCCCAAGAACTCCAGCCAGTCTCCCTGGGCTTCTTTGTTTCAAGGTCTTATACGTAGAAAAATGAAGGAAAAGGACTTACCTTTCCTTGGGAAAGGAAAAGCAGCGGATCAGCTGTCATTTTTTGAGGAAATGTAAAAATATTCAGCCTCAGTCAAAACCAAGCAAATGAATTAAAATGAGATACTGGTTTTTGTCAATCAACCTGACAAACATTAAAACATGATTAGTACTTCATATTGGTGAGTAGGCATTGCCATCTAGGCAGCTGGGAGTGTAAACTGAGGCTACCCGATGGACAGGTCTTTGATCCACTTATTCTACTTTTTTAATTTATCCGAAAGAGACGGTCAAAGGTAGGGGCACCTCAGTGGCTCAGTCGGTTAAGCGTGTGACTCTTAGTTTCGGCTCAGGTCGTGATCTCAGGGTAGTGCGATCAATCCCCACCTTGGCCTCCGCACTCAGTGCTCAGCGTGGAGTCGGCTTGAGATTCTTTCCCTCTCCTCCTTCTCCCTCCCCCTTTCTCTCTCCCTCTCCTCTTACCCACGTGTGCATGTGTGCTCTCTATCCAATAAATAAATAAATAAATAAAATCTTAAAAAAAAAGATGAAGGTAAACTATGAATTTTGTACAGTAAACATATATATCTATCACTCCATCTGGCTCATCTTGTATAATCAGGAACAAGAAGGAGGAGGAGGGGGAGGAGGAGAAGGAGAAGGAGCAGCAAAATTGTATTTTAAAAAACAGCCTGACCCGGGTAGGGAGTTAGATCCCTTGAGTGATTCTGGCAAAATTCCCTGATTTCCCAGCTACACAGATAAGAGCTTCTATGGAACGTTAGGAAAGCTGGATCTGAGGATGTTGTTGTGTCAGGGGGACCTGAGATGGTACAGCCAGTCTTTTTTGCGGCTGCCAAAACTATAACATCTAGGCCTGCTATCTGGGAGAGTTTGTAAAAACCTCAGGTATCTTTCTTCTTTGCCAGTGCGCAGATGTGCTTATCCGTGCAGTGGTTCTGAGGCATCAGCGCTCCTCAACCCAGCCGAATAAACCCAGAAAACCCTTCCTACCCCTCTGAGCACATCTGTGCTCTCAGACAATTGTCTCCCAGACTGGTGCCATCCCAAATCAAGTAATTCAGCTTCACCACCTTTGCCCAAGCAGGTGGCTTTTCTTGGTGCCATTTTCTCCCAAACTGACCACACGTATGGACACGTGTGTGCATGTACGCATGCACACACACACACACACACATACACACCCCAACCCACAGGGCCCCCTCTCCTTCAGAGGGAATGGTTAACAATCCCTGTAGAGCAGCAAACTCAAGGACATATTTAGCAAGTCTTGGAGATGCTAGAATTAAAAAAAAAAAAAATACAAGTCTTGTCTCAGCCCTCTTCTCAAACCTGCTCTGAAACAAAAGAGCTTGCCAGGTTATCAGGAAGCCTCAAAGCGGTTGTGTTAATCTTCTAGCTCATACAGCCAAAGCTAAAGATTGCCCTTTGCTGGAAGCAGATAGTAACATTAATTTATGCATTTTTTCTTCTTCCTCTTTTCCCCTTTGTGCATGCCTCTTTGCAGGCAGAGAAAAAGTTGAGCATCAGGACACGTGCCCAACAGTTAACAATGCTTATCTCTGGGTCATGAAACTTTCACATTCTTTCCTTTTCCATTTGTTTCTTTACACACTTTCCTTTTTTAACATGCAGCACGTATTTAATAATCAGGAAAATCCCCAATAATGTCTGTCCTACACACTAACACATACGAGTGGGAGAAGAGAAGGCCCAAGTGGGCTGTCTTGGGGCAAAGGAGGGGCAGGGACCAGAGGGCTATTTTATATAGGTAAATCAGGGAAGGCTCTCTGATAAGATAGGCTTTGGAGAGAGATCTGAAGGAAGTTAGAGAGTGAGCCTGGCCTATCTGGGAGAGAGCATTCCGTGAAGAGAGAAAAGCAAGGACAAAGGTCTTGGGCTTGAATTTTATGGCCAGGGCTGCAACCTTGAGTCAGGGGTTGCATCAGGAAATGCATCAGGAGAACAGGAGAAAGCATTTACTCATGCTTTCTGAAAGTGTGTGCCGTGGAGCACCATCCCAGAAAAATAGTTCTGAGAGAAAAGAGTCCCATCTCTACCCACCCCTGGAACAGATTCACAATGAACAGGGACTTAGTCAAGGCACTGAGAAATCATGCAGCAAAAGGAAATCATCCAACTTTATTGCAGCAATTCCAAATATTTCACCGTGAACCTCCTTTTTGCTATAAAATCTAGTCACATCTGGCAGAACCCATGTACTTCGTGAGAGGCCCACATATCCATTCTTTGAAGTGCAAAATAAAGTTCAGAGACCTGAACTGACTTCCCCAGGTTCCCAGGGGTCCCGCTTTACACTTGTGGCTAAGAAGGGTCCAAGCCCTGCTCTCTGGACTCACAGCCAAGCCACTCTTCTAGAAGTGTTTTATCCACATTTAATAGCCTAAGAGGTCAGTTTGAGCTTCTCTGAAGCCAGAGGAAGAGTTCCCCTGAAGGAAGAAAGTTACTCACTCACCATACTTCCTCTTTATTTAGCCAACCTTTTTTTTTTTTTTTTAAGTAAGCTCTAGGACCAATGTGGGGCTTGAACTCACAACCCCGAGATCGAGTCACATGCTCTACCGACTGAGCCAGGCAGGTGCCCCTCATTTAGGCATCTTTAGGTAAAGACTAATTTAAATTGGGCCTTCATCTCTAAGGGTGCTAACAATGTATGTGTCTTTTCTGAGCCTGGTCTCTTAGTGGGCATGCTGGGCTAGTGCATTGCAAACACACTCATGGAAAAGCAAATATACTTTAATCAGCCAGTAGCAACAATCGAAACCTCCACTTGAACACCCTACTTCTTGTAGAAGGCTGAGAATCCATGAACTGGGTATTTTTTCTTCCCTGCCTAAGGACAGGGTGGCACTGTGGCCTCGGGGCTCATTTATGAAGTTTTTGAGCATTTTTTATACCTGCTTTTCCAAAAGACAAGAGCCTCCTCTAGCACAAGGCAGCCCAAGTAATGTGGTGGTTTCAGAGGCTGGGCTGTGGGTCAGGCAGACATAAGAACCCCAGCGCTGTCATCGACTGGATATATGACTTGGGCAAGGGACATCGGTCAAATTTAGAGTCTCTGTATTGCCCTGTGCTGAACGGGGCCAGTCATTCCCATGTATGTTGTGGGGTCCTATCCCTCCTCCTAGCTGTATAGTGACTATGGAATGGGGGCAGAGAGGAGTATGTGGGGGTGTTGAAGCAGAGATGTCCTCCTTTCCTTGACTCTGGAGCTATTTCTGTCTGAAGAACTAGGACCCATCACTGTAATCAGGGCA